AATTCTCTTGCATTACTTGTTATTTACTTTTCCTGCATCTACATACATACATACATACATACATACATACATACATACATACATACATACATACATACATACATACATACATACATACATATATACATAACGTGGTTCATAAGCGAGTCGGCCACCCAAGCGAGTCGGCCACTTTGTACCGTCGCGTTAACTTCAACACGTTATCACAGTCTTTTATTACAGTCAATAAACTATTGCAATATACCAAATTAATTATTAGAATTACTACTATCACTTGCACTATCTATCTCAACTACGCAGGTACGAGCGTTGTGTCCAGTCTGCTTACAACGCCCGCACCGCCGCTCTCCTCGCACCCTCTTCGACGCACTCTCACTATCACCACGACTACTACCCGCCTGTTCAGCTAATACTTCTTGTACTTCGCCTACAGTAAGAGTCTCTTCTGTCCGTACGTATCGCCGCTTGCGGTTCTTACGCTTATTTGCTGTGTCTAGAGCCTCTCGAAGAGCAGCTACTTCCTCCCTCATAAGCGTCATCTCATGTGCTATTTGCTAAGCCCCTTTACTTAGCTACACAACCTTCTCGTCAAGAGAATTTGCAGAAGACCCAGGGCGGTTTCTTACTCTCTGTCGAATAAGAGTACTTTGAGCCTCAACCTCGCGCGCGTTGCGTGGTGTCTGCGCCTCCCAGGCGGCTGCCTGTCGCGGTGATTGTACTGGCGTCTGCACCACCACATTAAGCTTAGATAGCACAGCCTGTGGGTCGTGTGGGACTAGTCCAGCGCCTCTGAAGCTAGCTTGGATATTCTCCTTCGTGATAGACTGCTTAAAAGCAGCCTTAAAGGCTGGTAGGAAGGTCTCCTTGCTAATATAGTAGGTGCGGTTACGTGCCAAGCCTGAAACAGCGTCGCCATACTTACGCTTCAACGGCGAGAAGCAGGCGACGTTAAGGGGCTGCAACAGGTGAGACGAGTGTGGAGGCATGCAGAGAAGAATAATATTCTTCTCCTTGCAAAGATCTTGAAAATCGATAGAGCAGTGGCTCTCATGGCCGTTAATAATAAGCAGTCGATACCCACCTACAGTATGCCTCTTTGTATAGGTATTAAAGTGCTCTAATTAGGCAAGACTAAGCTAATTATTCGTCTAGCTATTAGGACTAACTTCAAGAACCTAGTTAGCAGGCAAATCCTTAAACTAGACGTTGATAAGCACCTTGCCCGCAAAGACAACGAAGGGTGGTATTCGGCGACCCAACGCGCCCACGCCTTAGATCATAGTAACCCACTCACGGTTGCCTGGCTGTACCTGCTTCTTTTTCCTATATCCTTCTAAGCCTGTGATAACTAACTATAATAAAATCTTGCCTATTATAAAGCTAGTTTCGTCAAAGTTGTAGATATCATCGTCCACAATACCCCACTTCTGCTTTGTCGCCTGGACTAAGTCAAACCAGCGCTAGATAGCCACTAGATCCTCGCAGGCGGCTCGCTAGTGATTATAGGGACGGCTCTAGCGCGTACGAAGCTCAGAAGTCCGCTTAACAAAGTTGTCAACCTAGTTCTTGCCAACAGGGTTGCCACTACGCTCCTCTAACAGTTTATCAGCTATTGCTCGAACCTTAGCCTTTATAGGGGCAAATCCTCACGTAGACTCTTCAAGAATACGCCTAACAATAGCCTCCTCTTCTAGCTTATTTAGGCGCTTTAAATTCGGTTTGCAGTCGCGTCAAAAGCGCTTTCTAGCGCGTTGGTCTTAGAAAGTAGTTTAAGGCACGTTATAGATAGAAGCAGCACGTCTTTAGCTTTAAACACGTTGCGATTAGACGTTAAAAGAGCAAGTTAAAGATTAGATTCAGAATAGATTAACAAATGATTGTGTGGTTGAGACATAACGCGTTATAGTGTTAACGTCGACGCGCCGGTACAAAGTGGCCGACTCGCTTGGGTGGCCGACTCGCTTATGAACCACGTATAGTAAATATATGTTAACTAACGTACCCCACGGCTTCGCGAGCCACACAGGTTCGCGAGCCACTTTTGCCAAGCCCTCACTAAAACTAGTACATTATGTCCTAAAACAGCCTAACTTTAGCCAATATAGTGCAATAAAATATAAAATGCTATTTAGAGACTACTTCTGCTACATTCTTACAAGTTCGCGCGTTATGCCTAGTCCTATTGCACTATCCACACCACCGTTAAGACGGTTCACCCACTTTAGCGCGCTTCTGCTTCTTTAACTTCTTCCTATTACTACGCACCCTAAAGTCCTAGAGAGCAGTTAAGCGCGCCCTATCTTTAACTATTAAGGTCCTCTCCGCCTAAACCCGCTTTCTTTTATGCGATTTTCGTCGCGTTGCGGCCTCATTTGCTGCTTTAAGCTTAGCAATCTCCTTTTGCGCTAATACTAGCTTGTGCGCAATAATCGCTGCCCCCTTTAAGACCTTTTTAAAGGCCTCTATAATAGACGTTAGCGAACTATTCGTATGCCTCTAAATCCTCTGCTTTACTAGCGTCAATTGCGACTCTAATTCTAAGGTATTGCTAGGCGTTTGCGACACCCAAGGCTAGTTGTCAATAGGTAGGGGTAATAGAGTGCGTAGCTTGATATTAAGCGTTGATATGACCCGTTCTAGGTTAAATAGGACTAATCCAGCGCCTCGAAACCCTCCTTAGACATTGCTAGCTGTAAATGAGGCGTTAAAAGCCCGCTTAAAGCAAGATAGGAACTCTTGTTTAGTAATGTAGCTAATCTAGCTGCGCATGAGCGATTCAACTTGGCGCCCATAGGCCTGCTTTAAAGGGGCAAAACAGCCCACATCAAGAGGCTGCAAGAGGTGGGACGAGTGCGGAGGCATGCAAATAGTGATAATACCCTGATCTTTGCAGTACTTTTAGAAATCTAGCGAGTTATGGCTCTCATAGCCGTCAATAATAAGTAGGCGGTAGATACCAACCTTCTTTATCTTTGTATGCTTATTAAAGTGCTTTAGCCACGCAAGACCAAGCTCATTAGTCGTCCAGCCGTTCTTAGAGACTCCAATAACCTAGTTCTAGGGTATATCGCCGTCCTTATACCAGCTTAAGAGGTGGTGGCGCGCCTTAAGTATAATGAAGGGCGGAATCGTCCACCTGGTCGTGTAACGATGTTACAACTTCGCCAAGTAACTACAGTGCCCGTGCACCAGATGAGCACCATCGCCAGTTGAGCACCCCCACCACCACAACAACAAAACTTCAACGCGTCAAAACTCAACCAATATGGACCCGATTCAAGAAGCGATTGCAGAAATCGAATCGCGAGAACCAGGAGATAAATTCTCGTATCAAGCAATCGCGAAAAAGCATGGTGTAGCACGAATGACGTTGATGAGACGACACCGCGGCGAAACTGAGGCCTATGGCGTGCGCAACCTCTCCCTCCATCCACAACACGAGAAGGAGCTTGTACGATACATCGATACGCTTACCGAACGACGTTTGCCACCTACGAAGGAAATGATACAACGCTTTGCTTCAGATTTGGCTGGAAAGCCGGTTTCAGAAAGCTGGGTTGACCGGGTTCATCCGCCGGCACCCCAACTATCTCATCTCTGCCCACAGCAAGGGGATGAGCAA